GGGTTAAGACGGCGACTCAGCCTTGCATTTCAATGAACTACAATGAATTCTTCGTCGAGCTCATCATCGGAATCAATCACAAAGTCGGCATCTCATCACATATGTCTTCGGTTAGCAACTAAAAAGCCCATGACGCACAGAAAGAGATGGGGCTATGCAAGCAGAAAGAGACGGATGTAACGAGCAGGGGCAAACTGCGAATGCATTCAACAGATTCAAAGATACATATCGTTCTGCCACTGACAAACCGTTTTCTGTCAGCTTAACTAACAAACTGCTTTTGTCGCTCCCCAAATTGCCCTTTTACCCCCTATTCTACATGTATGAATTTTTACAGATGCGGTGGGCATACTAGCATTCATGAAATTTACATGCATCACATCATATCATACTATATAAATTAAATACTAAGTCTCATCATACAAACATTACATATGTATGTATAACTTTATTTTACATACATATGTATGTATGTATGTTCGAGTTTAAAAGTGGTATAAATAAAATGTTTAGTACATACTAATATTACGCCCCATGTTGTAAGTGTGGCGCATGATTTATAAAGTGACGAAGCCGCTAAAAGATTTCGCGGCATTCTAAGAATTTCCAGCGCAGCATGTGTGGCACAAGGGAAACATTTAAACCAGAATGGAAAAGAAGTAGTTGGGGAAGTGGAAAAGAAAAGCATAAGGCCCCTGCACATACATACATATGTAATCTTAACAGTCTAATAAAGTCATTGAAACTCCCAACTTCGCGCAGGCCACCCAGCAAAAAGACAACAGCAGCATTGCCAATTAGTTGGGAGAATTTATATTGCTTTTTTCGGTTTCCGAGAAGAGAGTGGGGAAATAATTTCTGGAAATTTATATTAGAAGCTGCTATAAATTATGGCGAAAGCGAGCGAGAGCAAGCCAAGACCCTTGCCGGCTTAAAAGGCTGGCAAGACCCGCCAAAAATCCCAAACTCGAAGCAATCTGGAGACAATAAGCACAAGTTGTGCAATGGAAAATGTCCAAAGAAGGCGGCGGCCACGAACGATACTTCAATGACCCAGGGAGTGAGGGGCAGGGCAGCCAAGTATTTTCTTTGTGGAAAACGAAGAGCTCCCTCCAAATGATATACTCACAACTCCTCCTGTGAGAAGGCAACTAATGAATGCCCCTGGCATGAGGAAAAACAGCAGCAGCAGCAGCAGCAGCAGCAGAGGAAAATATAAAACATCACAAAGTGCGAGGGAGGTGGAAATAAATTGCACTGCCAATAACAGGCCAAAAACGAAAATGTATAAAATGTGAGTGGGAATTAGCTGAAAAATGTCATCAGCAGCAATCGCCAGGAGAAATAAATATTTGTATGTGGAGAAAGAATAAAGAAGTTTCTAATACATCCAAGGGAACGAACGTAATTAGTATCGAAAAATACAGCTCGTTCATTGTTTTCTATTCTGCAGAGAGCTGAAACACAGATTTTCATTGAAAAGCATTTGACAGCAGAAGCTGGAATTTCTGTCCCAATTTATGTTCCAGCCTGCAAAGCAAACATTTTCCCATTGCCAAGAAGTTCACTGGCAACAAAGAGTTGCGAGTTTGACTTTTCCTTTGTCAGCCAGTGCAGTTCTAGATGGCAATGGCAATGTGGATTCCTTCAGCCTAATGAGTACAAATATTTCTGGCTTGTTTTCAGTTGATATCAAGCCGTGTTTGTGCGTACACTGACAGAAAAAGGCATACTAAGCTAGACTTTTAAACTTACAATTTTTTTTTAAGATATTTTATTTACTATCTGAAGTTTTTAAAAAGTTGTTCAATAAGCAGTTTCTATCACGGTCAAAATGATGAGTTATCAACTGCCTCGAATGCCCTGTCCCCAAAGTTGCTACCACTTTTATGGGCCACGATGGCACCCGCTGCGTTTGAGCTCCAAGGTCGTTGCAGCCGCAGCGACAACCTTCAGCCAATCGGCGGGTGGCGACCGTGGGCGACGGGGTTTCACTGTACGTGTGTGGCTTTGGATGTCACTCCTTAACCGCTTCTGACGATTCGCCGCACAAAGACCAAGCTCACTGTGGGTTCTTCGGAGCTTCTGCAAAGTGGTAAGAGAAATGACGGAAGCAGCAGCAACAGGAAGAAAAACAAGCCGGCAATATAGGAAAGAACGCCCACGAAAGGCGGCTAGAAGCTTACAAACAGAAAATGCTACAACAGCGGATGGAGAAGCTGGAAAAGTAGTGACAGCATTTGTGGCTCTGACAGCTTTTCGGAAAGTGGGTGGCAAAACAGAGGGCGGTACAAATGAGGGATGTGCATTTGGGTTTGGAAAAGTTTTGGGGCAAAAGCCACAAGGAAAAGAGCGAATGGAAAATCTTTCAAGGCCTCTGAAACCTGAAACAACACTGAAAACCTTTCAGCAGCATCAAACAAAAGCCTACAAAAATTGCATTGCACATAGCAGAATTAAATCTGTTCGGCACAAGCAGCTTTCCAGCGCCAAAACAAACTGCAAACTGCAAACCGAAACTGAAGAGATAGCATTTTATTTGGATTGGAAATCTTTTTTGCTCTACGTCCATTTTGCATTCGCAACAACCGGAACTGGTTTAAAGGATTACAAAGATTTCAGGTTTGAAATGAATTCTGTATTCTCTTGTCATATCATAAATGGTCCAAATCCCTTGGACTAGTGAGGGCATTAAAGAAATGTGTTAGCCAAATTTAAAATGCATGGCAACTGGCAAGCAAGCAATACATTTTGATATTGATTTTGCTTTCCTCCGCAATAAGTTTGGCAATTTAAAAAAATGCCTTTATTTCCCTTTGTATTTATGTTAATTAAGAATTATTCGAAATGGTATTATTGAAGAACTCATTAGTGAGCATCCAGAGCGAAAATAAAAAGTGTATCGAATAAAGTGAAAGCACCAAAAGCGCTGCCAATTAAGCGGGGGTAAGTTGAGTAAATTGTAAATTGGATCGAGTCTGTGGCATGTTAGCACGGCATGTGGACTCCGGGCAGAAAGCTCCCCTTAACATGTCACGGGGCGAAAAAACATAAGTAGGAAGGAAGGAAGGATGCAGTGCATCCGGCGGGGGCGGAGCCAGAGGTAAATGGAACACACCAGCCGTAGTGTTGCCGTCGTCATCCGCAGACATGTGTTAATTGTATTGTTCCACAGAGAGCAGGAAAATTGGGTGGGAAAACGGGGCGGTGGCGCCTTGTTATTTTGATGTGCCAACGCCAATTCACCTGTCGCCCCCTCCGGCCACCCTCGAAAGGAAAACCTCCACCTCTTGTGTTTTGTGTTTTTTGTGTTGTTTTACACGCAGCTGCTCATTGTTCGTGTGCTTTGTTATTGCTGTTGCTCTTATTAGGCGCGTTGTTTTAGCCAAGTGTTTATTTAGCTGTTAACAATATTTCGAGTGCATCTCGCATTTACATTTTGAGCACACACAATTGTCAACGCATGTTGTGCACTTAATTAATATTTAAATTTTCAATCATGCTTTAACAAAATTTTATCCGTGGTGGATTAATTTCGACTGAGCTGGCGCGTATTCAACATCGAATTTATTGTGAAAGGTTTAAGAACGTGAATTCGTGCGGGAAATTATTTATATTGCAGTCTTATTTAATATTCTGTGTAAGAATAATCATAATAATATGAAATTCATATTAATTTGTATTAAAATAAAGCGGCTAATTTAAAAGTTGTTGTTTTAGGAAGTTCTAGCCCTAGCGACTCACTGAATTTATTTCCCGTAAAATACATTTAAGGACATCTATAACCCGAGGACCTGAGCATGGAAGCTCATCTCAATGACAAATAAACTCCAATGACCTGCAGTAAAGTTGAAATGCTGGTCCAATAAACATAAACAGGAAACACTAAAAACAAACTAAAGCAGACGACTCGGGGTATTTAATTTACCCCGCCGGATCGACGAACATTATTTGCTTTGGGGCTAATTTAATTGGTTCCTTTTCAAGGTAATCACACCAAGTTGGGTGGGATGGGCACCCAGTGACCTCTGGGTCGTGGGATCAAAGAGGCGCATGAAAATGCAATTAGGAGGGGCAATACTTATATCTAGAACCTCTGTCAACAACCAACGCAAAGCAAACATAATGGATTGGCATCCAGAAAGTGCAAATCAAATGCAGCAAATTAAATGTTATTGTTGCTGCATTTTGTTGATTTTCGTTGCCGTTCTGACTGGTTTCAATTAGCCAGGCCGCCATGGCGAATGGCGAGCGGTCAGCCAAAAAGTGCCGAATGGGCAAAGGCAGCTGCTATCCATTCCCCTCCTACCTCCTCCCTCCCTCCCCCCTCATCCTGCCCACATTGTGTAAACATTTGCCATGAGCACCAAAACACAAAGTAAAGCTACATGTCTGTTTGTTGTAAGCCAAAATGCAAACGGCATTAGCCATGGTCAGTGCGTTATGTCGAGGTGAGTAATGGCAGTGCACTGCGAGAATTTTCTAGGTACGACACGCTCTACACCTTCAAATGAGATTCAAAGCACTCAACATAAATTCTCCTTTTAACAATTACTCTTGGAGTAAATTTCTACACTGTCCGTTTGGTATTTAGAACCCATCGTGGTGGAATAGATAGCATTATTTGGCTCAGTGCACGGATGTTCAATCTATTTGTTTACTGACGGATTTTCGACGTGACTAACCATCAGCATCAAATGAAAATCATACGTGAAACTGAAACCGAAACCAAAAGACGGTTGGTCATTTGTGGCCACAATCACTATCGCTGGCTGTTTATGAACGGAATCTCTTATCAGGGGCTCCCCACAGCCCCACAGCCCCTCAGCCCCACCCCCCAATGCCCCACAACCCCACATCGCCATCGCCGCAAACGCCACATAATGGAGCAATGTCAGAGCAACAACAATGGCTAATGACATCATGAAATCGGCGGGACGCCGCAGACTTATCAGTATCAGTGAGTCCAGAACAATGGGCCAGTGCCAGGCCAGACTCACCTCATTCTCAGTGTTCCTTATGAGAGGGGTGTTCCGGCTCCTCTCGCGCATCGCCAGCAGCTCCTTCTGGTGCTTCTGCTGCCTGAGATGGTGGTCGTGCTCGATTTTGTTCCACTGTTCGTTGGAGAAGCCCTCCTCCGACTCGGAGTCCGAGTCCTCATTGGAGTAGTCCTCTTCGGCACCGCTATTCCTTAGATTCGCATCAATTAATTGCAGTTTTGGCCTTTCAGTGCGCAATACAGTGGGCTTGGCGGTTGTGGTTGTCGAGGTGCTCGTTGTCGTTGAAGTGGCTGTGATGTGCGGCTTCCTAACAGCCTCTTTCTCCCTATCATGTTTGAACAACCAATCGAATATGTTGCGCTTGCCGGCGGACTTGTCGTGCGGATTGGCCACGCTGGGGTATTTGTTGCTATTGTGATTGCTCCTCGAGACTATGTCCAGTTCGTCCGACTGGTCGTAGGCATTGTAATCGGGCTCCTTCAGATCGATGTGGGGCAGCTTCTGGGTAAACAGTGAGTATCTGGGCATTTGGCGGGCCAGTTCCTCGTCGACGCCGTTCGATGAATCGGTGTCCTCATCGTACTCATCGTAGTCATCTTCGTCGTCCTCATCGCTGTCCTCATCGGAATCACTCGAATCCACTTCCTGTCGCCAGTTGGGTCCTCTGGTGGATCGCGGCTCAGCCCAGGAGGGAAAGATGCCGTCCCTGTCGAAATAGCGGCTGTGATTGGAGATCAGGCCGTGATGCATAGTTGTGGGTGCCTCGGTGGTCATTGGGTTCTTCGCTGCGCTCGATCCGATGGACAAGCGGTGCTGCTGATGACGCAGCGAGGGAAACACGCGCTGCTCCCAGCTGACATGATGACGATTGTGGTGACGCAAGTGGTGCTGCTGCATGGGCAATTGGGGATCGAGGAAGGCCTTCTTCTCGAGGCCCTCGGCCGGCGGCTGGTGGTTCCCCTCCAGCTCGGCCCGCAGATGCTGTTCGTGCCGCAAGTGGTGGTGGTGCTGCTGATGGGCCTCCAGCTGCTGCGCCTCCTGCAGCTGCTGCAATCGCTGCTGCTGATGGGGACTTCGATGACCCGAAGTGGGAGCTACTGTGGTCAGCACAGGTGCTCCCTTCACATCACTGCTGTTGGCCCAGGCGAGGGGCACTAGGATCAGGACAAGCCAATGCATTTTGAAGATCATTGCGATTCGCTGCGGGCAGTTTCCTTTTTTATGCCGGCCTTTTTCTAGAAATACGCTGCTCTTTGTATCGATATTTGTCACACGCGTTTGTTGGCCCTTGCCTTTGTCTTTTGTTTGGTTTAAAGCATTTCCTTTTGTCCGACAATCAGCAATTAATATTGCCGCTTTTTGTTTTGACACTTGTTAAATGTTTAAGTAATTCGTTATTACCGGCTTAAAATGGAATTTTAATTGCTCAGTGGTGGAATTATGTCGTTTACTTTTTGTGAATGGAACTTAAATTGTTCTCGGAAAAATGTTTTACTCGATGCTGATTTTTATATGGCATTAAAATACTACTTGGGTCTTTGTTTATTATTCCATTACATTTATAGCTTTATTTATTTGTTGTTTGAGATCCCTTGAAACTTATATTTTTCGTTCAGTATTAATATTTGACTTTATTTCATTTATTTGTAATTATTTTTCATAGTCGAATTCAATTTTGTTTGAGAACAGCACTTCGTAACTTTAGCACTAATCATTCATATCGAATGTATATGCAATATTCTTTATTCTCTTCCTTTGATCTTTCAGGCAATTTGTTCACACACTTTATGATTTATGATTAATGGATATTAAATTCTTAGCGTTAACCAATTACCGCGGCCGTAAATCCGCCGCAGAATCCGCGCGCGACTTTTGACGCGGTGCCAGGAGGCAAAAAAACACACCCACCAATCCACTCACGCACATCCGAGTATATATCTCCGAGTATATATCTGTATGTGCGATGCGTTAGCGCTTGTTTGTGCAATGATTTGTTTGTTTTGATTTCCTGGGCCAGATGGCTGAGTTCCATACGAATAGATGGAGATATGGCACTTCCGTTTGGCTCCGGTAAATGGTAGGTTCAGGTCGCGAGGCTCCACGGAGGGGCGGACAAATCCACAGTTCCCGACGTTCAGATAACGACTGACACACGGATTGCGTTTGGATTTCAGTCGCGGCAGATGCGCATTGGCAACACATGTTGCGATCCACAAAAGAGCATCTAGTCGCAACATGAGGCCAGCAACATGAGGCGACAGCAAAAACTGAAAACTACGACAAAATCTATTACCAATCCGGCTGATCAGCCTGGAAATTCGCTGGCCTAACCAGTTTAAGAAGCAGAATATAATTTAAGTTGGACATTGCGCTTGTAGCATCATAAAATAAAATGTCAGCAATCTCCCACACAATCTGGGACTCCTGTAAATTGTACACTTCAAGAAAAAGGATACGTTAGGGATAACGAGCACTGGGTTTTTTTCGATCAATCCTTTCATAATGACGTTTACTGACTCTTAAGGGCAAATGGAATGGAATTAAGTTAACCAAAAGATCAACATTTTAACTCCTTTGTGAAGTTTCAAGAATGTTATATATTTTTCCCTCAGTGCAGCAATCATCTTCATCTAAAGCCTATCAGCAGCTTTGGCCGTACGCCCATGTCTCGTACTTTCCCTGAGTCGTCTGAGAACTTCTTCTGAAGTTTAATTCTCAAGATTGTTGTGCGTTGGCTGCTGATTTTCGCTCCTCGTGTGGGCAGTTGCACAGACACAAATTACATAATAATAATAATGAGATGTATTTTTATTTCCACCTCCAACCCAGATCTTCTGTTTGTTTTACCGAACCACAGAATGTGTGATTTCCTAGAATTCTACACTATAATATCCTTGAACGTCGGACAAGTCGCATTGAAGAACAAATTTTCCAACTAATTGCCATTAAACGAAATGTGTATAAACCTAAAAGGTTTAGACTCATCACCAGTGAGTCACCGATTTTAGAACGAGTAAACTTCTTAGCATGATCATAAAAAAGTGGCCGTCCTAAGACTGATCGATGATAAAAGACTCGAGGAAAAAGAAGGGTTGAGGCCTGAAATGAAGACTTAAAGAACATTTTATTATTCTCCTAACCATATTTTCTTGCCGGAAAATTGATTTTCAACGCTGGGCGTGCAAATAGGATTTGTCAGGCGATCAATAAAAGATATGCGGGGTTCCCACTAAATCAAAGAAGATACGATAGCTGATTATAGCGAATTATCGTTGATAGATAGTCGCAGTGAATTAGTTCTTTATAATTGGAGTCTCTCCCTTTTTCGATCTTCAAATAGTTTCCCACCCCAAACATTTTATTGTGGCCTTTCTTGTTTGATTTTCCTAAGCTCCAAGGCAAACAAGTTTCGTTTTCTTTCGCTTGAAGATTGTAAAGATTGTTGTATCATTGTGGGATGTGTGTGCATTGTGTTTGTTTTGGGTGAGTTTCGGTAGGTGATAAGCTATAAAGCTATATGTGCGGTTTGCCCATAAAAGCCTATAGAGTGTGTTGAATCTTACGCTCAATTTGGTTACTCGTGTGGCATGGAGTCATGTAAATACATTTTACTAAATCGAACTAAGCATTTGTTATGAGGACAGTCACGGTTAATGCTGCTCATATACAATAATGCACAAGATTATCTAAAATATCAAGCGCCACATATGCACCCACCACTAAGCCAAGTTAAGTCAACTAATTTGCAACATTCTTAACTTCTCAACAAGTTTTCAACGACGACTCCCGAAAACTAAGTCCGTGCAGCAGCAAGAGGCAATTTAATAATCATGAGGCTGCTTACTTTGCACTTCACTTCAGTTCAGCGCGCCCCCAGTTTCGACAATTTTCCAAACCCTTTCCCGCACCTAATGAAATCATTTCCAGTGCTCGATAGGGCGGCAAGGAATCATCAAGTTGCTAATTGGGTTGTCTAAAATGTTCAGCAAACGCGACTCAAACTTTCTGGTGTAAGCTCTTATCTTTAATCCATGCGAAACATGTTTATCCTCTGCTTTCCGTGGTAGGCGGTTAAATTACAATTTGTTTATAAATAATAGTTTTTAATAGTTCGTAAATATATATTTAATATTGATGTTATCATGCAAGCTAATAAAATGACCAAGTGGCGACTTTTTATCCGCACTTTTTGCCACAGCAAAATTATAAAAATTTAATCTCTTTTCCAAAAAGGCAAAATTTCATTGCCCTCTGGGGCCAGACAGTAATTAGCATTTCCCGATCGACCTAATCAATCAGGCAGCGGCGGCGGAAAGGGGGCGGGGCTGCAGGTTAAATGCCAATAAACTTCCAGGAAAAACAATAACAGAGCAAAAAACACAGCAAAGTCAAGAGCGATAAACAAAGTGAAGGGAGGGATGGGGGAGAAGTGGGCGGAGGTGAGCGGGTGAGCGGGTGTGGCAACTTTTGGCTCAAATTGTTTTGCCCGTTGTTGCTGTGATTGTAATGGATGAATTTCCTTGGCTTACTGCTGGGCAATCTATAAGATACAGATACAAACCTGTGAGTCGGGCCATGAAGAACAAGCAGTTATTTTCTTGGGGGCGTCCTGTTTTGGGGGCGTGTCTCCGGCAATTTTCAAGTTGATATCTTCACCAAGTGGGCCAGTGTGTGCAGGAATCCGGCAAAGGAGAGTCATGAACAAACAGACTAAGTAAGCGATTGCCAGGGGAATAAAATGGCCAAGAAACTAGAGGCAACTGAATTGAGGAAAAACCGGGTTGGCAAAGGGGTTACAAAGTACTTTGTGCTCCAGCTAACTAGGTAAACTAAAAAGGAATTTGTAAGTTAGATGGCCACTTCAACTTAATAACATCAATTTGCAGTAGCAGTTTTTCAGGTGTGATGCGTTTTAGGGATCGGTTGAGCCAGCAGCCGATGATTTACAGCAAACCAAATGAATCTATCCGATATTTGTCAATAACTTTTGTATTATTTCAAGGTACTTATACTTTCTAGTAAATAAAGAAGAGAAAATAAGAGGAACATCCTCCGTTTAAGCACGACTTAAAGGGTAAGCCATTGTCTTGTTTTCCCTAGCTTCCCTCCAACCATTTTTACTGTTGCCTATCAGTCTTCACCTGGCACACTTTGTAGCAATTTTTTATGACAAATATAACCCCAAAAGAATACCGAGCGCACAATGTTGCCCCAATCGCCCAGCAGCCACGCCCCCTTTGAGCCACCCACATGCGGCAAGGAACTGGAATACATAGCTGCCTTGTATATAAGTACAAGTGTATGTGTGATGTTCCTCCTAGAAAAGAGCCAGAGACAAATGCCTTTGCCATTGAAGAAGAGTTGCCATCATCGGCGGTGCTGGTATCCCCCATGTCGCTTTTGCCTCGTTAAAATCTGTGAAAAAATATGTCTGGCTTTCCTGCATAACGGGCGATATCTGTAGGGTTACAATTTCCTTTCTTTTTTAGTGGTGCTGTTGCAATGCCGCTGGTTGTTGCTGTTGTTGGCTTGTTAACAACACCAGGAGGCAGACACTTCCTTCGGCTTCCGCAGCTCCTTCTTAGGCACTGAGAGAAAATGTTCGCGAAATATATAGTGCTATAGAAAAGTATCTTGCGCGTTGCAAGGCACACTTTCTTGCTAGTATCTGGGTTTTCTTGCGGCGCAAGTTTAACGCTTTTCCTTTGCCCCTTTGTCTTGTCGCGTGTTTTGAACCCATCCTCCCCTTCTTACCGTGTTCTATGAACATTCTCTATTTTTTTGTTTTGCGCTACTTTCTGGGTTATAGGCCCCTTTTGTTTGGCCAGAAATGAAGGCGCCGCTTTGTGTCTGCTAAAATGTTTTCCACTCTTTATCCCCTGGCTTAAGCAGAGATGTTTAAGGCGAGTGGAGGCGGATGGAATAGACCATACAATATGCTGCCATTGATGGTGATGATGGAGCAGATGCATGGAGATGGAGATGGAGATGCGGAAGGTGACCCAAACTAAACGGAAGTGCTGCCCACCGAGGCAAACAGTTGTGAACTCTTTGGGCGGATCGAAAAAGGTGCAAATAACAGGCCTGGGAAACTCGGGGAAAATATCAAATATTATCACTTTACCGAAGTCATAACAAAGGGCAGTCCCCAAAATGGCTATTAAATTAAAGACTTATAAGTCAGGGTTCTTTAAAACAAAACCAATAGGTAACTCTAATGTCTTCCCCAAATCCTAACTTAAAGACCCATATGAACGAAATAATTGCAAGCTGCATTAAATAACTTTAACTCTGTAGAGATACCCATCAGCGACAAATTTTGCACAAATCAGACTTTGTAAGCTTTTAAGCCGAAAACTTTGCGATGGCGGAAAATTGAGCCTTGAAATGAATGCGTAAGTCTTTCCATGGCAACTTTCGAGTTTGGACTTCGACACACTTGTTGCCACAGCAATGTAGTCAACGACTGGCAAGACTTTGGTGGCAGTCTTGTGAAGATTTTTAGAGAAGGCCTAGTCACGTCGGTGGCAACAAATAACCGCCAGCCATAAACAACCCAAAAAAGAACATAATAAAAACCGGGGAAATCGCTCAAATGGGCACACACAGAACTCCGAAGTCTACCATCTTAGGGAATATTAAAACAGCGAGGCAGAGCAAATAGCTCCAAAGAGCTCCAAAGAGTCGGGATGTCTGGTTGGCTCAGCTGTGTGCCGTAGCTCAAGGTCAAAGCACACACGCCCGGTGGGTGGGGAAAGGCAGTGAAAGGTTGGATCCCAAAAAAAATAGGATGGATAACAGAAAGCCGGTTCAGCTTTTCGGGGCCTTTTCGCTTGTTTGCGCATGCAAATAAATATACAATTTTCATGAATGAACACGTATGGAGCAGCACACTCGACCTGCAATGGGCATATTAAGCAGAGGCAACCAGTTTCGCGAAAACATTGTTCTAGAGCCACGGAAATAAATAAACATATGGGATCTGTATCTAAACATGTTAGCAAAGCCTTACGTTTGTCAATAAGTAGAACGTAGTGTTTGTTGATTCTTAAATTTAATTTTTCAAGTTCCTTAGTTGGTATACAATAATGTTTCCTTCAGTTTTACCAAACGCTTTGAAATATTTTTTACAAGCCCTCCCATTTGATTTCTACC